ATGCGCCCCCCCCTAGGACCCGCCGAGCAACGGGGGGGGGGGGGGGTTGGCAACAGAGGCAGTGCTGTAAATCCAGAAAGCAGTGGGTGAAACTAACTGTGGCCAGGCCCTGATAAGAAAAAAAATCAAGCTACAGGCTTGGGAATCAGCAGTGGCTATGTCCCGGCAATAGATTATTTTTATTGCACTGTAGTGCAAGCAGGCACATGAGAGTGGCAACTATGCCCTGAATTCAGGAGCAGTGCTGCATTGTTGCCACCCCATCACAGAAAGCTGCAAAGGTGGACTTCACTGGCAGGATCAATAGGTATTTGTGGGACTTTGCAATGGTGGCTGAAAGAAAACTGTAGGTGGAACTGCATTTATAATTAAATCCTGCAGCACTATAAACTCCATTTTTTAAATGGAGTTTATAGTTCAAATTTCATGCTGGAGAAGAATGAGAAGCTCAACAATCAGAGACCAGCAAAGAAGAGGAAAATAAGCATCAATTTCCACTCAAAATATAAATAATTTTGGGGTGCCTTTAACCAGACCTTTTCAAATCAGTCCTGAATGGGAAGGTGCTCCAATCCATCAACCGACAAGCACACGGGTCCCCCTTGAACTGTCTTCCTGCAGTGAAATTCTCCACAGTTACTAATCGGATTGCTAGCTTGTAAATAACAATTCCCGTTATAATCACAAAGCAGTCAATGCTTATTTAAGAGACAATTCCATTTCACTGAGAATTTATAGAGGAATTGGCAGCAAGTATCCTTTTGGGGAATTATTCTCTTGCAGAGATACCTATCACCTAGCATTAGAGAATCATATAAACATGCTGTGTTCATGAAATATGGTGTTGATGTATGCTTGCAAGATAGCATTATGGGTGCTAACTGGGATCTGCATAATTTACAACGCATGTTAATTGCTTTCTGCTCTGTTTAATAACAGTTCACACGCCCAGCTGCTTTCTGGCGCAGACACATATATTTACATCATCAGGTGCTTAGTCTGGTTAAGCGCTGAAGGTATAGGTGGAACAAATAACTGGTGTGGAGTCTGGCAGTTCATATAATCAACTTCATTTGATCCATCTAGATCCATTCCTAGGTTTACTTTAGAGCCCATTCGCACCTTTTTGTTCTAGTGCGTTGCGTCAACATGCAGCTCATGGTTAGTGTTGTCAGAATAAAACAGGGAGCGCTAGAATTTGAATGAGATTTTTGTATTTAGCAAATGTTGTCTCAATACAAGTGAGTCTGTTCTTACTGGGTGTTCCTTGTGTATTTCTTCCAGATCTGTGCTTTAATCCAGTGTGAAACCTTGCTTCTGATCAGGAGCTTCCTGTAATAAAGACCAGTCTCTCTCCTTGTACAGGGTGGCGGGTCTTATCTCTGCCCCCTCCTGTAGTTTCCTGCAGGCAGCTTGCATTGGGTCCCTCCCACAGCTCTGCTCTATGCACAGGCTTTGCACAGCACAGTCATTATATCACTGTTACTTGTTACTTTCCAAAGACATTTGGTGCACACACAGTGGATTTATATTCTTTTGCGGCTATTGTCGGGAGAATTATCCCACGGAATCAGAAGACTCAGTTAGCTGAACCAATCAAGGTTTATTGTAACACAATTGCGGAGGTTACAACAGACTCGACATGTGTAGGGACTGTCCCAGGCACCAGTCTGTGTAACTCTGAAGAACCCTTTCCCTCCCGCAGTCTCTTATAGCCCTTTTCTTCGCCCCCAGCTTCTCCCTCTGTCTTGGGTGAAGTCCCTCTTTCGCATCTGGCCCTCACCTCTCGAATTCTTCTTTGACACGTAGGCAAGTGATTGTGGTTTCAGCCTTGGGACACTGTGTCGTCCTGGTTATCTGCTTCGGCCGTTTGTCCTTGGATGTGGGATTGTTATGTTCTTCTTTCTTGGTTCTTCGTACGTAAGCTTATCAGGCTTCAGCAGCGGTGTCCTGTGAATAGAAACTCAAAAACAGTTTCTAGTTCCAAAACAAGTATATACGAAACTTTTCTTATTGTCATTATTCTACATGTATAACTACTGAAAACTAAGCTACATATTGTTACTTATGCTATTATGAAATGAACAATCTATAACTACAAATGAGTAAATATCTTCACACTATTGAGGAATATATTTAAATAAAAGTTAATCTTTACACATCTGGGAATATACAACTAGGTTTTTCCTGAGGAAGGCAATAATATCAATTCGGTTTTTAGGTTTACATACACTTCAAGGAGTGAGAGCTGTGTGAATTCATTATATTGATCAAATTCTTAATTGTTACATGAAGTTCTTAGAATAATGTTTTATATAGCAGGAATACATTTCACTACCAGTACAGACTTTGCTTTGGGGACTAAAGACAGCGGAATCGAAGTTAAAAAAAAGTGAACCGCCTCGAATGTCTATCCATCTAAAACTAGCTGTCACCCAGTCAGTGAATATACCTCCTGCACTGTATTTGAATATACAAGTGTGCAGTTGTATTACTTTTTGTGATTTGCACCATATGTAAAATGAAGTACTTAGTTGAAACTAAAGCAGATGCCACCCAGGTTCGCTCACATTAAATGTTTTTGGTTTTCTTTTCATTGTGCTTCCGAGGTGCGTCGTATGGACCAGAGATGACAAAGTCTTTTTCTTCAATCCAACCATCCAGTTGTCAGTGTGGGACAAGCCAATCGATTTGAAGAATCGTGTGGATATAAATCGAATTATCGAGGACCCGCCCCATAAACGCAAATTGGAATCTCCTCCAGGTAATTAAACTCTGCGGTTATTGCATTCTACTTCATTCCATATTCATAGCATGTAGTAATGGAATCTACTGTACATAGGGTTTTGAAATGAATGAATTGGTAGCAATTGTTAACCATCCAGCTGAGCTATGACTTGATCAAGTGTTACTTCCCACTCACTCCTGTCATGGACTACAATCTCACATTTAGTTTGCTAATTTGTAATAAGATTGTAGTCCATCACAGGACCAAGCTTGGAGTGGTGGCTACTTTGCAACACACACAGGGAACATAGGGAACAAAAGTAGCCACCCTCCAGAAGGAAGGGCAGTGTCAGTACCAATTCAGAGATGATTGGAGGATCTACAGCCGAGTGATACACAAATAAGATACATTGTTGTTAATAGTTAAGGTACTTGATTGCATTTTTAAGATTTAACTCTTGAGTTTAGTGTCACTTTGAAGAGGGTTGATAACCTTTGTAGTGCTTTATATATATACATATGAAAAAGATTCTCTTAATAATCTTATCGTAGTGTTAATTTTTTGAAGCTTTATGTTTGTGTATAGTTTTAATGTACACAGGGCAGCCATTTGCTCTCTTATTACAGAGTCAGTTTTTTGCTGATCCTCTTATCTTACTGCAAGCGTTATTGAAAAGAATAGATGCTGCAGATTTTAAAGTGAGCTTGTGTGGATAAAGGTACTGGAGCTGCCATCAGCCCAGGCTCAGGAGTTGTAAACATGTTCCTGGCTTAACATCCTAGTACAATCCTGACCCAGTACAAGTGTGAGTTAAAGGAGTTTAGAGTTCATTGGCTGCACTGACTGACTATCCAGTGAAGCAAGTATCTAGATATGAAAAAAGGAAAGGATATAACAGTTCATATAAATAGGAAGATTTGGTATGGCTCACCTTAGGGTTCTGATACCCAACCAGCGTCCGAGGGAGGGTCACATGTGTCCTTTTGGTACTTTTGTGTACCCTTGCAGACCTAGCAGTCAGTATTGGAAGTATTCATTTGTAAAAGAAGCTATAATGACATTGATCTCAAGCAATCTCATGTGTTTGACTATCCCCTCCAATGTGTCTTTAGTCTCCACCCACCCCTGTTCAGTGACTGCCGTCTGTGATCATATTCTCCAGTATGTCTCAAGTCTATGACAGTCTTCACCCATCTACTGAATATTATGTGTGACCCTCTGTAATTGTCAAGGGTCAAAGTTGAAGCCCTCTACACCTTGCAAGCTGACAACCACTGTTTTGGAGCAAGGTTGAACACATATATGTTTAGTCCAGCTAATGGTGTTTCTATTTTCCCATGCAGCTGTAGTAGCTCTTGTGCTGGCTGGTTTGAAGTAGAGTATTGAGATCTGTCAGAGATCAGAAGTGTAGACCTGCACATCACTGGTAGGGTCCTCCATCTGTAAAGCAGACCAAACTTGAGACTGTGTTATAAAAACCATTGTCTTTATTATCAACGTGTTTTGGATTGGAATGCACCTCCTTCTCTGGGTATCAATAGCTATTGGTATCCTGAAGTCTCAGGTGCGATCTACTATGCTATACACCACAGAGTGAGGTACAAGTATTTTTCTCTGTGATCAGTAAAGAAGTATTATTTATAAAATAGTAAATCTGATTACAGCTTCATAAAGCTCAAACACAACCTCTTAGTTCCACTTACGTTAGTAATTAAACATCTTACTTGCATCCTTTACAACTCTCTACAACATGCAAATATCATGAAACATAAGTTTGTATTTTGACCAAAATATAAAAGTTTACCAGCCATGCCCAGGATCCTTATGTCTGGTAAGTCCTACACTATCCATTTCATAAAGTGCAAAAAATTGATGCTTTCTATAAATTACCTGAGCTTAGCCCCAGACTACACCCAGGTAAGCCCTTGACTCACTGCAGAAAACCTCAATGCAAATTGCACGGAGGGGGATAAAGGTTTGCAGTTGACATTTGTTCTTCTCAGATGTGAAAGGACAATGACATGCAAGTGGTTGCTGCAGCACCCAGTATTCTACATGCCACAAGTACAGCTTGGTTAAGGTTTTCGTTTTTAAAGACTGAAGCATTTTAAGAAGGCTCTCTATCAAATGCATATGCTGTGGGCTTGTAAATACATATACCATATATCCACAGAGTTGTGGTCATGATATTTTTACAGTAAATAAAAGTAATTCACAGGCACACACTTGAAGGGTTTTTGAAGTATTGATATGTTTATTCAATACCCAATGTCACATACTGTCATACGGTGCTAACGTTTCGGGTCCGCACAGGGATCCTTCATCAGAGCAACAATGACAGTGATCCCTGTGTCGCTCTGATGAAGGATCCCTGTGCGGACCCGAAACGTTAGCACCGTATGACAGTATGTGACATTGGATATTGAATAAACATATAAATACTTTAAAAACCTTTCAAGTGAGTGCCGGTGAATTACTTCTATTTACTATTAGTGTTTTGCATGGCGCCATCCGTGTGGTCACCTGGGCACCACATATACCTTGTGGTTTTGAGACCGTGGCAGTGCAAATGGGATTTGGACTTTGTTATTATATTTTTACAATCGCTGCCCCCCTGAGCTAGTTGTCCAGCTGTCATGCTGATTGAATGGTTTTCATAGTTTTTGGGCCACTTATTAAGAAAAAGTATGCAGAAAAGTAGGTCAGTGACTCAAAAACTTAAAAGGTTAGTTCACGTTTCCACAAAAAATGAACCAATTCACAACACCCTCCCAACCCCCCACGACTGGTCCCCACTGCACTTATCTTCTTAGATGACCAACTCCCGCTGCCCACAGCAGGTAATGTAACAGGTCGTACACTTCAAAACTTTACTACATAGCCCCAGAGGCCGTTTAGCATCATAATTCTGGCAGTGGAAAGCTTCATTGGTCACCACGTGATCATGAGGATCAATTAAAATATCTTCTTTTTTGCAGAACATTATCTTATAGAAGGCTCGCAAGAGATTCCCATTGGTTAGCATGGTCATGCTAACCAATGAGCACTCACCATTGCCAACATTATGATGCTACACAGCCTCTGGGGCTGCATAGTGAAGTGTTGTAGTGTGTCGCCCATTACACTGGCTGGCATGGGCAGTGGGGACTGGGGATGGGGAGGGTGTTGTGAGTTAGTTCACCTTGTAATTTTTTGTGTAAAAGTGAACTAACCCCTTAAAGCAGATCAACATGACAGCCAGATAACTAACATTTGTAGATGGAGAAATCAGCTATGATGTCCCCCACTATTCAGGTTCCTTTGACCGTACGTATGTGTACTTTTCAGGCATACAAATTTAGAACCCTGGGGTTGAGCTGAGGTTTACGTTGCCTTTAGATTTTTGTAAACAATGACCACAAACAATGATATGTGCTCCGATCATTCACAACTTTGATGCTGTTTCCTTATGACTTTAATTTGCATTGCTCCTATCCCTTTAAGTAACTAATATGATGTGGAAAAAAACATTTAGCAATATTTAAAAGCATTTGCAGCGTTGTTGCAGATCTGATCGAAAAGGAAGTTCCCTGCCAGCAGTCTAAATCAATTTGGCACGAGGATCATCTCCAGCATCTCAGATAGAACCGAGGCTTTGTATTCCTAAAAGTTAGAGGTTCATTAGGTATTTTGTGTGAGGCCCTGAGACGGGAATTAGTGCTCTCTATCGGGATGGAAACACTTGGCTCTCAATCAGGAACATAAAAATGTCATTAACGGTTTTCATTTGGATATTTAAATGTTATGTTCATCCTGAATTAAATACCTTTTTTTTTTTTTTTTTTTTTTTAACTGCTAC